TGGGTAGAGTAGAGGGACAGCGCAGGAGGGGAAGACCCTCTATGAGGTGGATTGATTCAGTGACTGGGGCACTCGGGATGGGTGTATCAGAGGCAGTGAGATTGGCACAGGATAGAGCACGGTTTAGGGCTGTTGTACATAGGGTCACTATGAGTCGCAAACGACTCGACGGCACATAACAACACAAACAACAATACCAAAATGAATTTGTCCAAACAGAACCATTTCAGGAAGTAGCCTATGATCAAGACCAATGGAAAATGAAGAAAGGAAGAAGTTCAAACTGCACTAAAAGCTTTGGCAAAAAATAAGCCCTCAGGAATTGATAGACTACCAGTGAAGGTGTTTTATAATCTTCAAACAGATGCAACCTTAGATTTACTCACTGTTTTATGCTAAGAAATTTGGAAGACAACTGTCTGAATTACTGACTGGAAAAGATCCTTATTTGTTCCCAATAAAAAAAAAAAAGGTGATCTAACAGAATGTGGAAGTTACTGAAAAATGTCATCAATATCACATGCAAGTAAAATATTGTGGAAGATTATGAAAAATATTTCAGGACAGTATATTGATAGAAATCAGACATAAATTTAAGCTGGATTCAGAAAAGGCCATGGCACAATGGATATCTTTACAGATGGATATTGATTGAAAGCAGAGAACACTAGAAAGATACTTGTGTTTTATTGATTATTTAAGGCATCTTAGTGTTTGGATCATAGAGTATGCCAGCCACTGAGAAGAATAGGAATCCTAAAACACACTTAATTGTCCTAATGTGAAACCTATATATAGACAAGAAGCTATTGTCCAAGCAAGACAAGGAAACAGTGGATGCTTTAAAATGAGGAAAAATATGTGTCAGGGTTATATCTTCTTTCCATAGCTCCTTAGTCTGTATACTGTGCAATTCATTAAGAAAACTGGATTGTGTGAGGAAGAATATGGCATCAGACTTGGAGAAAGACTTATTAACAACCTGTATTACAGTACAGCCTTTCATGCTAAAAGTGAATAGGACTTGAAACACTTGCTGCAGAAGATCAAAGGCTATAGTCTTCAATATTAACATCAATATTAACCTCAACATCAAGAAAACAAAAATCCTTATCATTGAGTCAGTAGGTAGCATAGTGCTGGGTGGAGAAAACATTGAAGTTGTGAATGAATTCCTTTTACTTTTAGCCACAATCAACATTCATGGTTAAAGAAATCAAAAGACATGTTGCAGTGGGAACATTTCTGTCGAGGATCTCTCCAAAGTTTGAAAGATCAAGGATGTCAGTTTAAATGCTTTCGGCAGAATGTTAAATGATCCAGGAAATATTAAAAGAAGATGGAAAGAATATACTGA